ACGTTGGCATTTCTGGGAATACCATGGCTGATCTTGCTGCCAAGGCAGCACTCAACAAATCTGTGACACCACTTCTTATTCCATACTCTGATTATAAAGCTGCCATTAGAACTTACATCCGTGATCTGATGCAGAAGAAGTGGGACGCCCAAGTAGGTATTAATAAGTTACATGCAATAAAACCCTATATTGGTTACACCTACTTGGGTTGTCAGTCCAGATTTGAAGAGGTCATTATGCGACGATGTCGCATTGGCCATACCAGATATACGCATGAGTACCTATTAAAAGGTGAGGATCCTCCGTTTTGTATCCCTTGTGATGAAAGAATCACGGTCAAGCATGTCCTGCTTGACTGTGTTGAATATTCCATCACAAGGGATATTTATTTCAAAGTAAAAACTATGAAGGATCTTTTTAGTCATATAAGTTCTCATTTAATTATTGCCTTTTTAAAAAAATTAGACTTGCTAACTGATTTGTAAATAGATATATATTTTATTATTGGTAGTTTAAATTAGTAACTGATATTGTTAGTGGCTGTACCCTCAAAGGGGGTTGAAGTAGCGTAAAATTATTGTCCTCCTGAGAGGGTACGTAAGTCCCAAAACATTTAGTCAATTTAAGTGTACCAGGTTTTTAATCGTAGAATATGTGTACTTTTAATTTATGGCTAGGTTTCTCTTCTGTCGCCAATGGCTGAAGGGATGGTGTAAATCCAGCTAGGGTCCATGCAGGAAGCAAATGTACTGTAAGTCCCCATGGTCCCTAGTATGGTGATCTACCTTCAGTTGTTGGCGATCAATAGCCTGTTTTTTATATTGTATCGTCTTGTATAGTTCAAATGTTTTAGATTATTGTTACTAGTTTTATATCTATATCTGTGATAATCTAGTTATTTTACTGTCCTTCGTCGGCAGAATTTTATAATATACATATTTTCACTTCAATATCATAATGTTCTCGTCACGATATGGCTGAAATATTGCCGATGTGACGTTAAATATTAACTCACATGAGCAATCAATCAATGTATTGGCTGTTAATCCTTTGAAAGAAGGATGTTTTTTTAACGCAGACACAGACACGACAGAGTGTATTCAGTATAGATTAGTAAATCTACATACATAAACAACCTTTTGACAAATCCGATGTGCAAGGTAAAAGTAATTAATCAATCAGCGTGTTATCGGTTAATCCTTTGATCGAGGTTTATAATGTTGAATATTTACTCCAGACACACGAAATGCCGAACTGGGAACCTTGTCGGGTAATCTAAGTGTGTTACCACTAATTATGCCTGTTATAATTTCATTAAATGACCATCAAGTGAATGATGACAAATAACATGTGGAGGTTTATACCATTTAACACGGGTTACAAGAAAGGGGTAATAATTGCTGTATTGCATGCAATTTGAATTGCATGTTAAAACTTATGGGCCGACACTGTTTTGAGAATACGAACAGAACTTCATTGTTGCATAAGAAATACATATAAGCATTTGCTGTGTGCTAAAACTGTATGTACCTATTTACCTAAGTAAATTTTCAGATTCTTCTAGCAATAGCAAAGTAGGTTTTTTTAGCTTACGGATTCAAATAAATCAAATGTCAAATTTTAATATCATACGTAATAGACGTAATATTTTTACATGACATGGTTAAATATCGAGGTAAAAAACCGACAGAATCAATTTGGATCAGTCACTATACCATCCAGGCACTAGAAAACCTGAAAAAGCCCACACTGCTTTGCTACTTTATTACAAACAGACAAGAACTACCGGGGATATTTTCAAATAACTGTATCTGATGGGTATCCACCCTTCTTAATGTCGCACTGTTTAGGTTGAAGAAACTAACCGTAACAGTGATGAGCGAGGCTGATCATCGTTTTCACTATCGCTAGCGTCTGGCTTGAACAAATAACGCCCAGCGACACCAAGCGATTTTGACAGAATCGTCTATGAAAACAAGTTGTAACACGGAAACTAGGCAAAGCAGGAAACAAAATTGAATCACAGTAGATCGTGGGAGCATATAGCTTCCATTTTTCACAACAGTTGTCACGATTTCAGGTTTATACAAACCTGTAAACAAGATAATTTACCCCCTGAAATGTACATGCATTTTGCATCGGCCCTCATATCTATTCCTCATATGACGTCACAGAGACGCGCCGCTCTGATTTGTTGAAATTTCGTTCGCGGGTGAGAATTGTGCACTGTTGTCAAAAAGGTCGATTTAAGTTTATTAAAGATCGAAATGAATAGTTTTAATGACGGGGTTTCATTTATAACGATGCCAATTAGTGATTTATGTATTTGTACCCCCCCTAGAGTATATGTGATCTTTAAGTTCTTTTCCAAGTGTTAAGTGTCCTTGTCCATCGACAATCTGCCGATGGGCCAGGAAACATCGTCAAACAGATGACGTGATGGCCGTCCGAGTTAATGTCCACAATGAGTGACAACTCTTTGGGATAATATATCCCTTCTCAGAATAACAACATTTCAACCGTTGATGGCAGAGATAGCTACCGTATCGTCAATTTGTCTCACCGCACACACGCGCGCTGGTGTGAGTGTCTGCGTGTTATGTTTGTGCGTGTGCGTGTGTGTGTGGTATCAGACTAAAGGGAAGGTTTTGCCTCAGTGTTAACTTCAGACGTTATTGCGTGTTATATTTGTGTGTTATACCTGTTTGTGTGTGGTATCAGAATAAAAGGAAGGGTTTGCCTCAGTGTGAACTTCAAAAGTTCTTGTACTAACACTCTAGAACACAGCCAATTCCTCCTAAACCTATAACTATGCAATAACCCAAAAATGCATCCTGACAACGGAGGCCTGCTAACAGTAATGTTATGTTTGAAACTAAATAGGTTTGGGTATTTCTGCAGCTATGAACTGAAGTTAAAACATATCGTGAACGTGGCCTTCTGTAACCTTAGTCCAGAGAGAGAATATATTTGGGAGTTATCTGGTCTTGTTCAGCATGGGCGGCTTAATCTTTCAGACACGTCTTTAATGCATGGTTACATTTTACAGTCATGAACGTTGTTCCTTAACAATGAAAGTAGTAAACCGTACTTTGATGGTTGTGCCATGTTACCACGGTGACGTAGGGTCCATTACGGTCTACGAGGGAGAACTATGGTCAACCAAGTTCAAACTAAGCTACCAGCATGGCTTGGCATTCAAGCTAACCGTAGAGATATTTTGAACATGTTGAATTATTTGGGTTTAACCATGGCCAAATCATGGGTTTCCCAGGTTCAAAGTACAGTCATGACAACGGCAATCTACTTTTCAACTAATATATCTAACTACGTTTAACTAAGGTCAAATACGATTCCACTGCGGTCTAATACTTTTATCACAGACTTCGGTCAACTACCTGTGTGTCCATAAGATGTGACCGCTGCTTTTATAAAACAGTTTCTTGAAGGCGAACAGTAGATATTATATTCGAATGGCTAAAGTGAGATTCGAGACCACTTTAGACCTGACTCGTTTCTAACAGTTTCTAATAAGGTTTGGATATCAACTTGATAACCTATTCGAAGAGAATGAATGATGTCAGTTGCTAGAACAATTATGATTCTACAAACATAGGTCTACTTCAGAAACACAATACTGGCAATGATTTTGACATTGGGGAGTGTAATAAATCGTTACTTACGGAAACTCTTGACCGTGGAGCTGCACATGTTTTTGTATTATTAGGCCATAATCCCCAACGAAAACGTAACAAATTTGAAACGACTATGACAAATGTAACCTTACAAGGGAATTAAAAATGAACGAGCTGCCGTACGCTCATAGAAACATGAAAAATGAAAAGTGTCCAGGGCCTGATGGTTTTGCTATAGCATTTCTTAAGCACTTTGGGAAACATTCAGGAGATTTTTTTCTTACTTCACAAAACTGTGTTTATAAGAACGGATAGTGATTGATCTCGCAAAAACATGGATTGTTAAGATGCATACCTTAAGCAAATCAACCTAAGAAGTGTATGAAAAATTGGCGCCCTATGTCCCTACTAAATATATAATACAAAGTTGGAGCCGCAGCAATTGCAAACAAAATTACTTATTACCTAGTAGTATTAATGAAGACCAAAAGGGTTTGTCATGGGAAGATATATTGGTGAGGTAACTAGACTTATATATGACTTAATGGAATACACCAAAACTTGCCAAATACCAGGCCTACTTCTTCTTTAGAATTAGAGTGAGTGAGTGAGTATGATTTAAGGCCGCTTTTAGCAATAGTTCAGCAATATCACATCGGGGGACACCAGAAATGGGCTTCACACATTGTACCCATGTGGGGAATCGAACCCAGGTCTTCGGCGTGATGAGCGAACACTTTAACCGCTAGGCTACCCCGCCACCCCTTTTAGAATTAGAATCGAATGGCATCCCTTTCTGTATCTTGAGTGGTATAAAAAGGTGTTTTTGTCAATGATTTGATACATGACGAAGGCAGACTTTTTATATATGAAGAATTTTCCAATATGTTTTCAATAAAATATAATAAGTTTAACGTATGAATCGGGGAAAGAGTCATTATAACATACGTTCGAACACTGAACATAAAGTAATTTATTAGCAAATTATGCAATCCAATTTATCATTTTATTGTTTCAAACATTAGCACCATAATTGAGAGTACAAAACTATACGCCTCCGTCTTGAACTCAAAATTTCTTCGCTTACCAAGCTTTTCAAAATGGGAAACAGTTCTACAGAGTTTTCTTGTTAACTGCAAATGACAGGAAACATTTAACATTATTGCTTTGCCGTGGGTTGCGCCCCTGTCACAGTGGTGGACGGGGTTCGGACGGTTAAAGGCACTCGTTCCAAGAATAGCGTTCCTTTGCCCAACACACCACTTTGACCCTTACTTCACCTAGACAGGTGGTAGTCTAATATAGTAATTTCGCTTGAGTCATGTGCCCTGAAGGCGGTGGCACAAGGGCCAATCTTGTGGAATAATTACTGTTTGACTAGTTCTTCTTGAGTAAGTCATCCAACTTTCCTTGGTGTCGTAAGTCGGCTTTCCGCGATTTGGCATTGTCTTTTGTGATACTCTGTGGTGGGTGGGGAGCTCGGATGATAAACCTATATATATTCACCATGGATTACCAAACCCAATAAAAAAAGCGAAACGTCCACTTGACAATTATGATGAACAGCTACCTTTCAGATCTGTTGATTACTGGACACGATTCTGAGTGTAGAGACTCTGGATAAGACCCCTTTGAAGCTAAATCCTTTTCCCATTTCTAAAGTATTAACGGCATAGCAGAAAGAGTGAAAAACATCAAACGCTTGCCTTCAGGATAACTTTTAATGTAACATAAAATAACTAGTTACGAACCTGCTGTCAAAATATCATTCTCTTCCCACAGAGGTTACTCCTGTCATATCTTCCTACGTAACCTCTGTTCTAATACGGCCCTTTCATGGTGTGAGCGTTTAAGACTCGTGATTGGAGGCATTCAGATTTAGTTGTGCAATCAGCGACGTTGTTTCAAAACTGATCATTCGCAAGGCCTCGGTAATTTCCGTATGCTTCAAGAAAACTAAACTTCTTCCCCTGCGCGATGCGCAAACGTTTCTTATAGACAGAACTCAGTCATGTTATGGCGGATCAGTGGCGTCTCCATCGCCTTCGTTGACAACGGACAAGCTAGCCATTAAACGTCTTGTGTGTAACATCAACACAAGTCCCCGGCAGATGGGGGATATTTGTGGCCCCACATTTGCTTGTGTTAGTCAAGTTGAATCTAAGTGATGTAACACATGTTTTGATTGGATAGAAAGAAGGGAGATAATTCGTGTTGCGATCTTTTGCCTCTACGGGATTTTACGAGAACCGGGAAATATGGCCGTATTAGAACAGAGGTTCGTAGGAAGATATGACAAGTAATGTCAAGAAGAAGAGAATGTCAAGATATATGTTTGTTGAAATTCCCGTTATGGTCTCTGCCCATAGAACAATGAATACCAGTGAAGGAGAAATCAGAGACAGAGATCGACTGCTGGCTGTTATGTTAGTTTACACGTTGCTTCTAAAATGAAAGACTAGGGAGTGACATATACCACAGGAATAAATTAATTGTGCATTATTTAATGTATTTTTAATGCAAATTTTAATACTGTTGACAGGTTGATTGTTTGTGGCTGCTTCAAATTCAAAGCGGGTTAAAGTTATGTATAATGAGCTTCGTTCCGAAATACATTTAAAGCAAATTTAGATAGTAATTTATGCCTAGATTTGTCAACAACTGCTGGCATCTGAAGGTATGGTGTAAATCCGTGAACCCGTGCAGTAATCAAATGTACTGTAAGTCCCCATGGTGATCTGCCTTCAGATGCTAGCATAGCTCCTTTTTATACCGTGTTGTGTATAAAATATCGTCTATGTAAATCTATGATATTGTAGTTATTTTTTTCTGTTATCTTATTCAAAGACGTAGTTATAATTTTAGTTCATTTTCTGTGAATGCACCCCATGGTCCCTAGTATGGTTATCTACCTTCAGTTGTTGGCGATCTATAGCCCGTGTTTTGGGGTTGTTGTTGTTTTTTTCTGTCATCTTTAATTAAAATGTTTTGTTTTACATGCTAGTTATATATTCATAACTGTGATATTCTAGTATTTTTACTGTCCATCGTCGACAGGTTTTATTCTTCAAATGGTTTCATCTTTATCGTATAGATTGTTTTCGTCACAATATGGCTGATACATTGCCGATGTGACGTTAAATATTAACTCACTCACTCCCTTCTATAAATGCAAAACTTTCATAGTTACTATATGGCTGAAATACTTACTTTGAATTTTAAATGAGGATACGAAAACGAGAAAATGTAATTCAGACAAGACAAATAGAGTCCAAACTGAAACCTAACACAGCCAAATGGTTATATTGAAAAAAAAAATATCCTACTTATTGAAAATTGCCCTGGATCTATAAAACCTTTTTAAAAAGCCACCCAAGACTTTCCATGTATCGTACGCTCGTGTATTGAATTGCGTTTGTGAAAGAAGTAGTATCATCTTCTAAATGGTCCATAAGATGATAATGGAAAAGTGTTGTCGGCATCTAATTTCCCACAAATCACTTATATTTCAGGTTTGTTTCCCCGATTAGTAATGGATATCAGTAAGTGCATATCTTAATGTCTAATTAATGTCTAACTGATGAATTCGACTGATATATTATACTTATGACACTTCAATAATTGACACGCTGATAAGTGTAATTAGAGCAGCTTATCTTCAGGACGATCCGATCCCAACAAACATACATGTGTAATGGCCTTGCCACAAAATCCATTAAAGACTTGAAACTAGTGTAACTTGTGTTTTTCCACTCAGGGACTCCGATAATCAATGGATCAATCTTTATTTACAGTTCTGAAGAGGCCGTAGGCCTATAGTACATTTTACATACATACAGTAGCAGAGGGTGCAATATAAATGAATATATAGTTAATAATATCACATCTGTAATGCAGAGGATCTCATATTCATGGCATGGTATATATACATGGCAAGGTATTTTGTGACTGTTTGATTTTGAGATGCCATGAGGGTATAGAATTTGTCTATTCGGGGGTTCAAGTAGAAATATTTCTTTATGTATTCTTTTCTTATATTTGCATACAGTGGACAAACAAGCAAGAAATTATATTCATCTTCTACCTCCTGATAAGTACAATACTTACACAATCGTTTTTCCCTTGGTATCCCTAAATGCCTACCTTTTTCTATTAGAAGATCATGGGAACTACATCTGAAACGGGCTAGTGCTGTTCTGAATTTCTTAACATTAATATCTGGAAGATATTTTTTCTGTAAGAATGAATGATTTAAAACACGACTAATCGTTTAACGTATTGTGTAATACATCCTTTAGCATTTGGCTAAACTTATTAGGAGAACACACTCTTTTCATATCATTTGCTGCCGTGCACAAGGCCTCTGACATGTAATTAACACTTTGTCTATATCGTGTAGCACTTCGTTCTCAGCTTTTTCTAATAAAGAAACACCGTTGCTGCTCAACTCCTATAATCATGGGCCGTGCCTTTGAAAATCAAAGCTTCAAAACAGTAATTTATACTAGACTATTCGTCAACATGTGAATGCCTCTCCTATACATACTACTCGCACATAGTCCTTTGGCGGCTTTCTGTTGATATTTGCTATGGTATTTCGCACCCGTTTTTAGGTGAATGAGTGAAAATCTTACGTCACATGGGCAATGTTTCTAGCCATAACTTCAAACAATATAATTGAAGCAATAAAACTCCGGATGTCTGCAATGTACAATGATGCTTTTATGACTAACATGCAATCATCAGTGGACAACTATTTTAACAATACTTTAAACCCCATTAAATAGCAATGCCGTAATAATAATAATAATAACCAGGTAAAGTCCTTCACCAAGTCTGCCCAGAGTCGGTCTTTTGTGGAGAAGCTTTATGAGAAGCCATTGCATCGTGTGTACATGCAGTGCGTTGAACAGAATAGCAATCCCACTGACTCCGTCCCCTGGATGAAGTTTGCTGGTCTCAAATGTGAAACTGGGGGCTTCCTTTTTGCTGCTGAGGACCAGTCACTTCCCACTCGTAATCGCCAAAATGTGATTCTTAAAGAAAATATCAATATGAAATGTCGACTATGTAATGAATTTACAGAGACTTTCCAACACCTTGTCAGTGGATGCCCTTCCTTGGCACAAACAGCATATCTTAAACGACATGGGCACCCATGAAGGGCCACCTCCTCGTGGTGGGTGCTGGGTCACGCCAAGCGCCCTTCAACCCCCCGTTGTGGACCCGGGGGGATATTAGGTCCACCAACCCGTTTGCCGTGGGTTGCGCCCCTGTGTCGGTGGAGGACGGGAGGCTGGTGGTTGAGGGCATTGGTTCCTGGAACAGTGTTCCTTTGCCCAACACACCACTTCGCCCCTTACTTCACCTAGACGGGTGGTTGAACTGGCCCGGTTCCATCAATCGGCTGGTCACGCCAAGCCCTGTGCTACAACTATAAAATGTTGCACAAAATTTGAGAATTATTATATGATATTTTTAAGTCTTGGCAATTTTTGAACTTTGAATTTTTGAATTTCAACTGCACAATTTCATGTATGTTTTTGCCTAGAGTCGTATGCCCAGAAGGCGGTGGCTCATGGGCCAATCTGGTGGATTCATTAATCTTTTAATTTTTCTGCTGGAGTATGTCATCCGGGTATCCTTGGTGCTGCAAGTCGGAGATCCGCTTGTTTTTAGCATCGTCCTTGTGATACTCCGTGGTGGGTGGGGAGCTCGGATGATGAAATCTAATACAATAACCATGGCTTACGAAACACCAACAAAAAAAACCAAACGTCCTCTTGACAATGACCCTGTTGATGATGACCACAGACTGCCTAAATCGATTGAGTATTGGCCACGTTTCCTTGTAATCGAGACTCTAGACAAGAGTCCATTAAAGTTGAACCCTTTTGCAGTATCTAAGGGTATTCAAGGTATTGCTGGGGATGTAAAGAACATTAAACGTCTCCGTTCAGGTGCGCTGCTAGTTGAATGCGCGAAAAAAACCACAATCAACCAACTTGATGAATACAGAATTGTTCGTTGGCATTCAGGTCTCGGTCTCTGCTCACAAAACTTTGAACACAAGTAAAGGAATCGTCAGAGACCGGGACAGATTGTTTGATGATATGTCAGAACTTGACATAGTATCAGAAATGAAAGATCAAGGTGTTCTTTACGTTAAGCGCTTTACAACCCGAAAAAACAATCAAACTGTCAGAACGAATACCTATCTGTTTTCCTTTTCATCCCCAAATGCTCCCAAATCGCTGAAGGCAGGTTACTGTAACATTCCCGTTGACACCTACATCCCTAACCCACTCAGGTGTTTTAAATGCCAGAAATATGGACACGGTGTAAATACTTGTACATTGTCTGTTGTGTGTGCTCACTGTGGTGAGAAGACACACACAACAGAAGATTGTAACAGTACTTTTAAAAAATGCACCAACTGCTCGGGCGACCATTCAGCTTTTTCTAAAGAGTGTCCCATTTGGAAAGAGCAAATGGCAATTGACAAAATCAAATTTACCCAAAATATCACTTTTTCTGAGGCAAAAAAACTGGTAAAGAGATCCGACCTTCCAGAGAGTTATGCTGCAGTAGCCAAATCACCATCTCAGTCTAGCTCTAAAATAACAAAATCATCCACTAGCTGCCAAACAACCTTGACTTGGGTCAAAGGGGACTCTCCACAGAATTTGTACCCTGAGATATCGTCTCAGACTGAGGAATCACTTCCTGGTACGTCAAAACCTTCTTCAGATCATAAATCTTCCTCTCAATCACGCTCACTCACTCAATCGTCATCTGACAATCAACAAATTGTTCAAAGTAAAGGTAAGCCTAAGCCTGATGCTAACAAGAAACAAAGTGGCAGAGCTCCAAAGGGGTCTCAAAATAAAATCAAACTTTACAACAAATACGGATCACTTGAGGATATGGACGTGTCCGAAAACGTCCAATCTAGGGCACGAAGCTTGTCGCCCTCCAAAACAGTGCGGGAGAGATCCCCAGTAAATCCCCCGAAAAGATAGTTAATTCCAACACCATCGTACAGTGGAATTGCAGAGGACTACGGCATAATTACAATGAGTTACAGTTATTAGTCCAGGATTGTATGCCGTCAGCATTTTGTCTGCAGGAGACTTATTTAAAGCAGACGGATCTTTTGACCTACGTCATTTCAATGCTTATCATTATTTCTCACCTCCAGGTGACAGGGCCACTGGAGGTTCTTCAATCCTAGTCAAACAGAATGTTATCCATAGCCCTATTACACTTACTTCTAATCTTCAAGCAGTTGCAGTGCGACTCACTTTACACGTTGCATTTACATTATGCTCTTTGTATATCTCACCGTCTTCAGTCATTCAGAAGACTGATCTTCAAACTCTGTATGACCAACTCCCTAAACCCTGTATTATTATGGGGGACTTAAATGGCCACAACCCACTCTGGGGTAGCATAAATACAAACGCTAAAGGTAAACTACTGGAGGAGTTTTGTTCAGACAATGATTTATGTATTTATAATGATGGTTCCAACACGTATTTACACCCTGGTACAGGAACCTATTCTACTCTCGACTTATCAATCACGAATTCAGAATTACTAAATGAATTTGAATGGTCAGTCCATGATGACCTATGTGGAAGTGACCATTTCCCGACTATACTAAAACCTGTAAACCCATCTGATATTACTCCATATTCGAGATGGAACTTTAAAAAAGCTAACTGGCCTTTGTACCAAGCTCTGTGTTGTAGCAGACTTAAACCCGAACTCTTTATAGAATGTCCTGATCCTATAAAAGATTTCTCTGATGAACTTATTAACATTGCTGATGAGTGTATCCCCAAATCCTCTGCAATTCCACACATACGAAAACCATGGTTCACCAATGAGTGCAAACAGGCTAGGAAGGCACGGAAGAAAGCTGAGAATTATTTCCGTCGCCATCCTATGGTCCATAATTTGAATAAATTTAAAATTTTAAATGCTAAGGCACGGCGTACCTTCAAACAAAGTAAACGTCAATCCTGGCGAACTTATGTCTCAAAAATAAATTCACGAACGCCGATATCAAAAGTATGGAATATGATCCAGAAAATAAAAGGTAAGGGTTCTAAATCTAGCATTAAGCATCTGAAAGATGGAGACGAATTATTAACTAGTCAATCTGATATTGCAAATAAACTCGGAGAAACTTTGGCCAAACACTCTTCCTCATCGAATTATTTACCTCAATTCCAAAATTATAAAAAAAAACAGGAAAGGAAAACTATTAATTTCAATTCAGATAATGGGGAAGATTACAATGAACTGTTTTCTATTCATGAGCTTCATACTGCTCTTGATCAAGCTCATGATACGGCTACAGGTGCTGATAACATACATTATCAACTCTTGAAACATTTACCGGATTCATGCTTAGAAACCCTTTTAAACATTTTTGATGATATTTGGACTTCTGGACAATTTCCTTCTTCATGGCACGATGCTATTATTGTACCCATCCCTAAACCTGGACGTGATCATACTGATCCTTCGAATTATCGGCCAATCTCATTAACTAGCTGCGTTTGCAAGACCATGGAACGCATGATAAATAATCGACTTGTGTGGTACTTGGAAACTAATAACCTTATAACAGACATTCAATGTGGTTTCCGTAAAAACAGAAGTACTATCGATCATTTAGTGCGTTTAGAATCCTTTATTAAAAATGCCATTATTAAAAAAACAACATGCAGTGTCGATCTTTTTCGATTTAGAAAAAGCATATGACACCACATGGAAACATGGTATTTTAAGAGATTTACACGATTTTGGATTGAGAGGCCGTTTGCCTCTTTTTATATCACAGTTTTAAAGGACAGGCAATTTCAAGTTCGTGTGGGTTCTACCCTGTCTGATCATTACAATCAGGATCAGGGTGTCCCGCAAGGCAGTATTTTATCTGTCACACTCTTTAGTATTAAAATAAATAGTCTGTCAAAGGTTTTAAGTGATTCAATCGATGGATGTCTTTTCGTGGATGATTTTAATATTTCTTGCCGTGGTAAAAACGTGCGAACTATTGAGAGACAATTACAAATTTGTCTCAACAAAATTCATAAATGGTGTCTTGAAAACGGGTTTAAATTTTCGAAATCCAAAACCAACTGTCTCCATTTTTGTAGGAAATACAAACCCCATAAAGATCCTGAATTATCATTAAATGGCACACCCATCAAAGTTGTCAAGGAAGCTAAATTCCTTGGTCTCATCTTTGATTCGCATTTAACCTTTCTGCCACATATCAGAAATCTAAAAAGCCAAATGCCTGAAGGCACTCGACTTGTTGAAAGTCGTTTCCAGTTCAAAGTGGGGAGGGGGACCAAACCACCCTCCTTCATTTGTATAGATCACTGGTCCGATCGAAACTTGATTACGGCTCTATCGTATATGGTGGGGCCTGTAAAAGCAACCTCAAACTACTTGATTCTAGCCATCACCAGGGTCTAAGACTTTGTCTTGGGTCTTTCAGAACCTCTCCCATTGACAGTCTCTACGTTGAGGCCGATGAGCCATCTCTTACACAACGCCGTATAAAATTAACTTTACAGTATATTACAAAACTTTATTCCAATGAGTCAAACCCCTGCATATAACTGTGTCTTTAATCCACTCTATGAAGATCTGTATAACAAGAAGCCTTCTCTTGTTCCGCCTCTTGGTATAAGAGTGCAACCTTTTCTTTCTGCTGCTGGCATTGAGCTAGAACATATAGCTCCTTCCCGATTTCTTTCTTCTCCGCCTTGGCAATTGGTTAGCCACAAGTTGACCTAACATTAACTACATTTAAAAATCAGAAACAAATGAATTACAGTATAAACAAGAATTTAGTCAATTAAGAAATAAATGTACTACATACAAATCCTTATTTACAGATGGGTCCAAGGATGGTGGCGCAGTGGCATGTGCCACTGTCATTGATCCCGAACAATATCTTCTAGAATACCGGATAACAGCTCTATATTTACAGCAGAAGCAAACGCCATCTTAACAGCTCTTAAATATATTAATAAACACCGTAAATATAAACAATATATCATCTTTTCAGATTCTCTTTCCTGTCTTCAGGCTATTAAAAATATTTCTTGCAACCATCCACTTTTATTAGAAATTATTGAATTGTACAATGAACTTGCTACTAGCCAATGCGACATCGTCTTTTGTTGGTTACCCAGCCACGTTGGCATTTCTGGGAACACGATGGCTGATATTGCTGCTAAGGCAGCCCTCAACAAATCTGTGACACCACTTCTGATCCCATATTCAGATTATAAAGCCAGCATTAGAACATACATCCGCGATCTAATGCAAAAGAAGTGGGACACCCAAGTAGGTATTAATAAATTACATGCAATAAAACCTTACATTGGTTACACTTACTTGGGTTGTCAGTCCAGATTTGAAGAGGTCATTATGCGACGATGTCGCATTGGCCATACCAGATATACTCATGAATATTTATTGAAAGGCGAAGATCCTCCGTTTTGTATCCCTTGTGATGAAAGGATCACAGTCAAGCATGTCTTGCTTGACTGCATTGAATATTCCATCACAAGGGATAAGTGTTTTAATGTCAAAACATTGAAGGATCTTTTTAATAATGTTAGTTCTCATTTAGTTATTGCCTTTTTAAAAGAATTAGATTTGTTAACAGATTTGTAAATAGCTAAATATTTTATGATTGGAAGTTTGAATTAGTAACATAGATTGTTAGTGGCTGTATCCTCGAGGGGGGTTAAAGTACTGTAAAATTATTGTCCTCCTGAGAGGGTACGTAAGTCCCAATTTCAACTTTCCGTTTTTTAATCGTAGAATATTTGTAATTTTAATGTATGGCTAGATATGTCTTAATTGCTAACGGCTGAGGGGATGATATAATCCAGCTAGGGCCCATGCAGGAAGCAAATGTACTGTAAGTCCCCATGGTCCCTAGTATGGTGATCTACCTTCAGTTGTTAGCGATCCATAGCCCATTTTTAGATTGTGTTGACCCCTGTGGTTAAAATGTTTTAGATTCAATTACTAGTTTTACATATATATATCTGTGATACTCTAGTTGCTTTACTGTCCTTCGATGACAGGTTTTATAATATATACATATTCCATTACAATATAAAATGTTCTCGTCACGATATGGCTGAAATATTGCCGATGTGACGTTAAATATTAACTCACTCACTCACTCACTCACTCACTCACTCACTTAAACGACATGATGGCATGGCTCGTTGCCTTTACTACCGTCCCCGCCATGTCTGTGGCTTTGACTCCGAGGTCCATCCATGGTACGACCCTGAACATGTCCAGGGCGTCATGGAAAATGATGTTTTCAAACTTCTCTGGAATAGGCCCATATACAGCCTCAGTAGAATTCCTGCCAACAAACCTCATCATGTCCTTTTTGATAAAGCCAATGAATTTATGTAATTATTGAATTTTCTGTCCCTTTTAACAGCAATGTGATTGGCAAGATTCAGGAAAAGCATGAAAAATATGCGGACCTCGCCTTTGAAATGTCTCGCTTGCATCCCAAGTACACTGTCGCCAGGCTCCCCATTGTTCTCGGTGCCCTTGGTTTGGTACCTCCTGATCTCTTAGCGTAGATCAGGAGAGTGCCCGGGTTCTCCACCGGGAGAGCAACCCTTCTGACAGTCTGGGTAATGCAGAAGGCTGCAGTGTTGGGGAGTCTACATATTCTCCGGAAAGTTCTTGGTGGGTTCGAATATGCAGCGTTTCCTTGGAGAAGTCCAATTCGCTGTCTGGGCTGCGTGTAGAGGGGGCAAGGGCCCTGAGCTGATGATGAGCCTTACCAGCCTGACTGTGCCAGGATCACCCGAACCCTCCATGCTGCATTTTCATATTTAATCTGTAGAACATAATAACCTTCAAATACATCAACCTCGGTTAAAACACTTTCATTCAAAAATCAAAAGCCCTGTAATTAAATGTGATTTTGCTAAAAATATCCTTCAAAACTGAAACTTGGTAATAAATATCACTGGGAGAGTGAATTCTACAATCAAGCAAAACGCAGCATTTTCTTCTTTTAATAAATGTATACATTTTTTTATACATTTTAAAAAGTACCCATGCATATACATGCTGTATAAAAGTATATCACTTATGTCAGTGCGATTCGTCGTAATAGGACCTCCTCAAATCAGACTGACTGACAACCCAAGTAGGTATATAATCGACAGCTGGCTTTATCTTATGTAATGAGTTATACCCACTCGGGATTACCACTTATTTTGCATGAGGTCTCTATGACAGGCTTCATATCACTGTATGGGATCTGACGTGGAGTATGATAGTAGTTGAGTGCTGCTTTGGCAGCATCAGCCTTGTGTTACCATGGATTCAAACATGGCTGTTGTTAAAAATGTTTCTGCAGTAAGAATAGAACAGTGATCAGGTAGTCTGGATGTGAGAGGATCCAATGACAGTAGCGCTGGCAACAGCACTACTATCCTTGGATCCATCTGTAAATATAGCCCACAT